TTTTTTTTTATAGGAAAAAACCTATATAGGTTGGTAGCAGGGTACAATTCACCAGCCAGAAAGCTTCTCAAGTGTCGCTGTCTGTTCATTGGACACCCTGATGGGAGTAAGCACGACAGAGACACACCACTCCAGGAGAAAACCAGAAAGTCCATCCAGCTCAATTTTATTAGGATCTGAAGTGCAATTATCTATGAACATGTAAACAGGTAGACCAGATAAGGTGTGCTTACAGATGTGGGACATGCAGTTTGGTTAGGAGAACCTACGCCTCGTGCAGACAACTCCCAGCTCAACAGATACTGCAGCGGTTGTCCCTGGTTGTGAGCTTTCTCTAGCTGGTACAGCCCCACACAGGGGAGCTTTCTCTACCCAGTATTAAAGGTCGTTGGGAGGTTTGCACTTATCTGGAGCTTAGGCGATCTGTCTTGGCCAGAGACCCTCCCTTACTCCCCAGCATTCCGCAACACTCAAGTGTGTTTTAGCCTCAACGTTTACATCATTGTTATAAAACTTTCTTAATCATGCCAATATGGAGGCTTCCTCTTACCTCCAAATCAGCTTTGTCTCATGTCAGTCTCTGATTCTTTGCTGTGACCACAGGCGCTCTTACATAGGTTTCATTTTTCCTAGTGCAGGAATCTCTGATCTCAAAGGCTATGCAAAGCATTTGTCTGCTTCTTCTTCCTTGGTAGTAATGATTCTCATCTTTGCTCATAAACTTGCCCAATTTAAAGTTGCTGAGATGGGAACAACTAAGTAGGTCCATTATGAGTCTTTTACCTGCCTGGTTTGTATATGCACACCCATCTATGGGGTGGAAACACAAATTAATGAGCTAGAAAAGTCCTTTCCCTACACTACAGTATCAATAAAGTAACATTGTTGTTTTTAGGTGCCATCACATCAGCTATGACTGGTAGTGACCCTATGAACAGCACATCTGCCCCTTGCTCTATCCTGCACTATTATCATGATCACTTTTGTGCTCTAGATCATTGTTACAATCACTCTGCCAATCTATTTTGTTGAGGATCTTTTTTTGTATTTCTGCCTTCCCTCGTATGATGTTTTTTCCAAGGCCTAGGCCCTCCTGACAACATGCCCACAGCATGTGAGACCAAGTTCTACCATCCTGGCCTTTAAAGAGTAGTCTGGTTGTAATTCCTCCAACACATATTTGTTTGTTCTTTGACAGTTTAAAGAATTTCAGTACTGTTCTCCAACATCATAACTCAAAAGCATCAATCGTTCTTCTGCCATTCTCATCATTGTCCTACTCAAAATACATACAAAGTAATTGAAAAACAAAGCCAATAATAATAATAATAATAATAATATCCAATCAAAGACCAAACCATATCTTGGATCAGGCAGTTCTTATTCCTAAACTGTATCCTTGCTCTTTAGAACTTTGGAGAGGTTCTTGACAGCAGGCTTTCCCAATTCAACTTGACTTTTTATTTCCTGTCTGTTGGAACCAATTGTACTGATTGTAGATACAAGTAAGAGGAAATAATTGACAATTTCTATCTTTTTTCCATCTGCCAAGATGTTGTCGCTTGGTCTAGTGGTGGGGATTTTTGTTTTTGAAGTTGAGATGTCATCCGTATTGAAGGCTATAGTTTTTTATCTTGTACAGCAAATGTTTTAAGTACCCTTCACTTTCAGTAAGCAAAGCTATGCCTTCTGAATAACCAAGGCTGTTGATGAATTTTCCTCCAATCCTGATGCCAAATTATTCTTTATAAAATTCAGCTTCTCAGATGTTTTGCTTAGCCTACAGATTAAATAGTTATGGAGAAAGGATCTAGCACTGATGTATACCATTCCTGACTTTAAATCATGCAGTGTCCCTCTATTCTCTTTGAACAATATCATCTTGGTTTAGTTATAGGTTTTGCATAAGCATAATTAAGGATTCTAGAATTCCCATTCTTCTCAATGTTATCCATAATTTGTTATGATCCACAAAATTAAATATCTTTGCAGTAAAATACAGAGAAAAATCTTTCTGGTATGCTTTGCTTTCAGTCATGACTTATCTGATGTCAGGAATGATATATTCCTAGAACCATGTTGTTTTTTTTTTAATCCAGTTTGAATTTCTGGCTGTTTCTTGTGATATACTTTTTAATCTGTAATTAATAATTTTCAGCATTATTTTACTTGTATATGATATTAATATTTTTTTATTTCCTCATAATAACTTTGATTATATATTGTTGTTGATTGCCTTCAAGTTATGCATGACTGACTCATAGAGACCCTATGAGCAAAAGGCCTGAAGCCCCTCTACAACCATCAACATTTATCAAAGTTCACAGAGTTTCTGGGAGCAAATTGTTTAGGAAGTGGATGCCACTCCTGCTTCCAAAACTGTCATAGAATGTTATTGTTTGAGTCGCCTGTGATGCATAGGGATCCTATGTACAACAGCTCTGACCCTTCCCTGTCCTGAGCCAATGTCACTAATTTTGACACACCAACCCTCATCATCCAAGTTACTATATCAATCCTTCTCATCTGGAGTGAATCTCTCCTGTGCTGTCCATCCAGCCTTCTGAGCATGATGTCCTTCTCCAAGGACTGATCTCTCCTAGCTACGTGCCCAAAGTAAGTGAGGCAGAGCTTCAAAATCCGAGCCTCCAAGGAGAGACTTGCTTTCACCTTCTCCAGCACAGACCTATTTGTTTTCTTGGTGATCCATGCTGTGTTCAAGACTCTTCTCCAATCCCACAACTCAAAGGCATCTGTTCTTCTTCTGTCATCCTTAGTCATTGTCCAACTTTCTGAAGCATAACAAGTTATTGAAAAACCATGAAAACCATGGTATAAATAATGTGATGAGAATTTCAATGATATTCAGAGTTATCAGGTGGTTTGTCATTCACTTCTATTAGAGAAGTTATAGAGAGGAATAGATATAAGGGTAACAAATACTCTGGAAAATCTTGAATTTAGAAATATTAAGGTAAAAGTGTAGAGAGAATAGTAGAGACTTTGAATTATAGACAATGGTAGAAATCAGGGTGTTCTAGGATTATTTTACACTCTGCATGGTTGGCCCTCTCAATTCAGGCCTTTTCACCCAATTTTGTATGTATTACTAAAAAATACTTGTAGTTCAGTTATCCATTCCGCTTTGTTCCTATCTGTTTGCTGTTTGAGTATCATTTCCTCCACAATCCCCTTTTACTTACAAATTTTCTGGTATGGGTGATAACTATTCTATGATGAGCTCCAGATGTTATGCACCAGATATTATATTCAACATCTAGCCAAATTCTGTATGCGCTCAATAGCTTGCTGCTGTATAGTTGATATCAACCACATGGGTTTGTGGGTAGATGGTTCCCTGATACTTTCTGTGCTGCAGTCTTAATAGGACATACATTGACTTTATGTATTGTATCATTGTCTAAATTTGAATACAAAATAAGTTGATCACCTAGCATACTGATAGATACTTCATTGTCATTTAAAAGCATTGTACTCAGCCCTTGTGTCACAGATTGAATCCCGTCTCTTCAAATTATGTGTCAACTTGGTGAAGCTGTAATTATGTAATTATCCTTTGCATTACAGATTCTAACTTCAAAGATATTAATGAGCCAGGATTAAC